CATTGGAAGTGAGATGTGGTACGGTAGGGGTTATTTTAGTATATTTTTATTTGTAGGTTTTAAAGTTGGTAAGTTGTAACACGTATTTGTGAATGTGTAGCAAGGATATGTTGCTAAATATCCCGTGTGGTCACCCATCCGGGAGCTAGTGACTGCGGCCGGTACGTACGCTCAATTTGTAGAAACACACTGARCGTACGTACCGGTAAYACCAAGCCACATTACTTAATTTATTTATTACCTTAAATTATATTAACAAAGGTTTATTAATAGATACAGACATACAGTCCTCAGTCCAAGTTCTAACATTAATATATTCACAATATAAGAAAACGATCTAATGACAAATTAATTAAATTAAGTGATGATTTTGCTATTTTTTTTTTTTTTACTATAGAATCTTTATTCTTGTGTGTAAATCGAGTTTGATTACTACCTACATTGGCTACATTAGACATTGGTGTATATCATAGTATATTATACCAAAACACCCAATAATTATAATATGTTCAAGAAAATGATTTRAAATGGTTAAGTAATCTACACAAACGGATGAATACGAACAAATACATAATATATATTATATACGTCGGGACGTCGGGCGTAGGTCATCCAAATGAAATTTTTGTACTTAGGTATATAGTTAATTAATTGTCATACCTTGAATAAGTTGCATTATTAAGCACGGACCGATTGCATACGATTTATTTGTTTTTGCAATTTTACGTAAGTAATCTCGAGTTTTTGCTTMTTCTTGGCGATTTCCAATTCTTGTTCCTTTTTCTTTAATCTGCTAGTCTTGGCCGCCTCGTTGTTCTTTTGCCGTTTTATGTAGTAGTCCTGCATGCTATTGTTATTATTGTTGCTGGAGGAATTCTTCGACGAGTTCATGGCGTTGACGGATGGTGCGTATAATTTACGGATAAAAAATAAGAAAAAAACTTTCAATTTATCTGTTGGATTTTTGGTGTGAAAATAAAAATGTGGTCAGAAAAATACGTTTGTTGGCGTAATAAATTACTGTCATAAGAAAATTGGGCTGGATACGAATAACCGTCTAGGAGTACTGCACACGACCGATGTCTATGTAACAATAATAATATTTATCGCCGGACTGGAGCTACCCCCGATGAGGTAGAAGCAGCAGCGCACCAACAGAAGACCCGTATAATGATCACGTCGCACAGGAAATAATATACTTATTGACGAGTGTCTTTTTGTCAAATATATTATATTATTATAATACTGCTGTGCTTATTGTACTGCAAAATGTTCGCGCTAATGAGAAACTAATAGCTTTGCTCGCTATAACGTCGCCCCACCGCAAACCCACGGGTGGATCCTGTTTACCCATGTAGGCTATAATGTATTCGCATGTGCGAGCCGTGGGAGATATTATTATTTGGACAGTTAGCACTTCCGTGTCCATTTACCGTCAGACCAGTGTAAATGTGTAATTGTTAGTAGGTACTTGTATGTATAGTTGCCCATTAACGATCCGAAAAGGCGATCACAATAATATAGCATTTAAGAAGGTAGCATAATATATATAACGTATAGGGTACCTATAACTGCTTCTCCGGCTACTACCTATAACAATACGATTTTCACATTACTGTTTGAATTGTAATTTGACGACACCGGAAGCCTGATAATTCGGAATACTGTTCGTCATTAAATAGCTATTTAATAAAAATACATTATTTAGTTAATAGTTATTCGAAGACATTGTGTAGTAATAATAAAGAATTATATAGGTATTAGAAGCTGCCCATTATATACCTTTATATACCTACWACGCGTGCATCCGTTAAATTGATACAATTAAATATAACACAATTTAATGTTGGTGTTTCGTGAGAATATAATATATTATGTTAACTATCTAATAATTACAATTTACAATTATTATTTACTGCGTATTATATATTTAAATCTGACTCYTGCAGACTCCAGACTTTTACACCGAATATTTGAGAAATTCGGTACAAATTAAAATGCATTGGTAATTTTATAACATATTTTATGCAAATGAATATATAATTAAATATATAATCTAGATGCACATCAATAAATAAGAGAAAACAATATTGTTATAAACAATGTGCTTTATATACAATATACAAAACAACTTAAGTAGGTACTAGCTAGGTTAATTCATGTTTTATATTTCTTTATTGTATTTAACATAATAATACATACATACAATTACTACCATGCTGTATAAATAAATAATAATAATAATTTAATGACACAAAAGCTATTATACAGACATACAGTTATATACATAGGTATACTATTTATAAAATATAATAATATGTAAGGTACCAATGCTTTACAAGTACCTAATATTTTCGTATTGAATTTAAAAATAAAATATAAAAAGCCTCAGGGGATAAAAAGTCTATTTTCTAAAAATAATATAATTATAAATGGCTATTGCCACGATTTATTTTTTATCATACATCGCAACCAGTTAAATCCAAACTTGTAGTGAAATTTGCAAAGCATTTTAATGGAGACGTTTTAGAACACTTTTTAGGCCCCCACTATATACGCCACTGATTATGTTAACTTAAAATTGTAATTAAAAAMACGAAAAYCTAACTGTAGTCGTATAGATAATTGAAATRTACACAAACATATCACATATGTACATACATTTTATTATATCATTATTATTATATAGTTTAAAAAACCATGGGATCGGCTGCAATACAATTGCGCGCGGTCGTTATATCAACGGTACTTTTTTAGGTGTACGATTGCGCGTGCTAAATTATTTTTGCTTCTAAGCAACGTTACCAAATATACAGATTATAGATGCATGGTAAATACCCGAACTTTTTAGGTAGGTATAGACTGAGTGTGAATATAAAGTATCTGTTATTTTTGGTAACTATTTGTACTATTTTTGACTGATTAATTGACACGTTTATAATGTTATTAGAAATAAATACAATAACAACATATACGACAAATAACAATTTTTTCAATTATAATAGTTATTTTAAATTTTAATAATAAGTTGGTAACGTCGCATCAAATTTCACGCGCAATCGTACGCTTTTGAATAGTCAAAAGCATGTACTTTGTTATTCCGGCATTGCGCGCAATCGTATGCCCAAAAAGGTAAAACGCGAGCAATCGTACTCCACCGACGGTATCTAGTGACCACGCCACCGGGTCTATAATATTATGTGCTTTAAAACCCTAAGTTTTCACTCCAAGACCTACCCAAGGTGGTTTCACATATCAAATCGACTATCGAGGGATATTTTCGATTTAATTGTCCAATCGAGTGACTACGCACCATTTCCACGTATTATTATTATGTGCTTTTATGACTATAACATTTAAACTATAGAATTTCTGCGAAGCACAGCAATGTCACTTATTGATGCTCAACGTATTGTGTTTTCAATTAATAGTCAGTTATTATAGACTATCACTGATGATGGCCGACTTGCTATAGACAATCAAACATGGCCTACGGCTTTAAATTGCTTAGTAAGCAATGCTTACCTACATACGAAAAAGGCATATTGGACACGTGACGACCTAATAAAGCACTCAATTCGCCATAAGCTGGTCAGGTATCGAGTTACACGGTTGATGAGTGACAAAATGATTGATAATAAAATTCGATAGAGATAAATAATAGAGCGGTAGTTTTGATTTAGCATATATTTAATAATTAATCTACACGGATGTCAGGATGACCGGATCGATTAAATGCACTTGCCATATTAAAAAATATTCAACATGAATTTCAGAATTTATACCAATCAGTTATCAAAGACAACACTATTGAAGACTGCAGCGAAAAAAAATCAAGACTTACGACTATATTTTGAACAGTGATGAGTACAATACATACTTGTATGTATTTCTTTTTTAAAACGTGATTACTGCGATTCCTTAGACTTATATATTATATTGATACATTTTTTAAAAAGCCACAGATTTCATGTTAACACAAGTCCCGACCCTTGAATAGAACCCGATCTTGATACACAGTTAGAAATTGTATATATTTACATTATATAACATGTATAGCTATCTTCTTCTTCTGTGAGTTCCTATCCGTTCCGGATGTTGGATGTCATATTGGCTTTACTATTCCTGTCAAGTGATGCCCGAAATAAATCAATAGATGTTGTATTGTACCAGTCACGGCGATTCTTCAGCCAAGATATACGTCTATGTATACCTATGTGTTATATWATATAATATAATATTTTGTATTAGTTTAATATTTGATATTTTAGAGTTTTTAAAATATTAATATCTTTTTTTTCAAGTGAAAAAATTGAAAATACAATTGTACGTGTATTATTTGAAATCAATAAGGAACATTATTGGGAGGGGGCTAACCCCCTCACCCTAGTTGCGCCTATGTCTAGTATTATTATTTATTTATAATTGGAGTCTGGAACGAATAACCATTGATTATTGAAATTATAGAATAGGTTTTAAAATAGGTTGGAATTCTATAATAAATGAAATAATCATACACTTGAGATTACTAATTGTATTAATTATTGTCCGTAGCCCACGTTAACAATGCCGCAACGATATTTCAATGCATAAATTTCACAAAACCAACATAATTGAATTTGGCGTAGCTTCAAAATTAAATTTGACAGACAAATTCTGATAGCATCGTTATGTTTTTTTGTGATTAATTACATAAAAATCAATGAAATAAAATTGAAAAATAGCATTTTTATTTGTTATATTCTGTGATTGGAGTTAAACTAAAATTAAGCTAAAATCTTTTTGTCTTTTATCATCTTGTTACCTACTTATAATTATAAATCGAAATCTAATATACTAAAAAAATGTATACTAAATAGGTTTACCTACTATATATATTTATTTTACAGAAGTGGTTTTACTGTTAGAACTGTCAACAATAATTGATAAATATAGATAAGTGATAACACATGTTACATCCTTACATATTAATACATAGGAGTATGGGTACATGGGTACTTAATCATAACTAAAAATTTTATCATTTTTTCAGACAAATTACGTTTCTTATTTTTGTATTGAAGCACATCTGAGGTCCGTTCATATTCTTAACTCAAGACTGTTATAGTGTTAATACATAATTGATTCGACTTAATGTCTGGATTTTCAGATTAGAATTGGATTGTATAATGTTATTCTTATTATGAAATGTTTAGTAAAACTTTGCCCTTTTAATAAAAAATGATAATACATTTCTTAATAATTTGTTCGTGTTCGAATTTTTTCCATTATTGTATTAATCTTAATATAAACATCTGCTTAAAGTTTTTAGAATAAGAAACAATTATGATCAAAGCAATATTGGTGTTTAACAACTACGGAAAGCCTAGACTTTCTAAATTCTATCAATATTTTGTAAGTACCTGCTTAATTAATTTAAAAATAAAATATTCGTGCATAAAAACTTTTTGATTCATTTAAATATTTAATAATAGAATGAAGACATGCAACAGCAAATTATTAAGGAAACATTTCAGTTGGTTTCCAAACGGGATGACAATGTTTGCAACTTTCTTGAAGGTGGAAGGTAATTTTAAAGTTTTATTATTAAATTACCAATATACTAATTTCATCACAGTTTATCCTAATGATGTTTAATTTTAATTTTTAGTCTTATTGGCGGATCAGATTACAAACTTATTTATCGTCATTATGCAACACTGTATTTCGTGTTTTGTGTAGATTCCTCTGAATCAGAACTTGGTATTCTTGATTTAATTCAAGTATTTGTTGAAACACTCGATAAATGTTTTGAAAACGTTTGTGAGCTTGATCTTATATTTCACGTTGACAAGGTAATATTATGATAGATTATCGATTATTTATAATGTAAAAGAATAAATGTATATGTAATTATTACTATAAATCAACTCATTATTTTAAAAAGTATTTTTATCATTTTCTTTTTTCTATAAAATTGTTATACCCAATCATTTTTTTGTATTTGGTAAAATGAATTTGATGTTTATTCCATTTTACGTACGAAATATTATTCTAAGTTTAAAATACCCTCAAAATCACTTAAAATAATAGCAGATACTGCAATATTCCGAGCATGCTGATTCAAATCAATGTATTAAGGTTATTTCTAATCACATAATATGYAGTCATTTTGTTCACATAGAATGTCATGAGCAATACAATTTTGAATGAAAACTATTAATCACAATCATCTAGAATCATTGCGATTATTGCGTTGGATCGGGATTTTTTTTTCAACTACAAACAAAACAATATAACTGATTATTTATTTTTATTTGCAAAATATCATATTTATGTAATACAATTTATATACTATTTCTTTAAGTTATACTGTATGCACCTATATCAAATAAATCAATTTATACATTTTCAAAAATATCAATTGTTTACTACGTAAAAAAAAAATCAAAATAATATAATAAGTCGGGTATTGGAAATCTTAATCCACTTAAAACTACTAAATATGCATACATTTATGCTCTTAAAAATTACAATAATATGGTTTGAAAATATGCACTTATATTTTTTCATAATTTTCATAAATTTAATAATAATTATATTTTATAAATTTGTCCACTTATTTTTTAATAAAAGCGGAAATTGTATGTCAACTATGGTTTGAAAAACAATAATACCTGATGAAAACTCATGATAAACATTTATTATAATGTGTTTATTTTTTTAATGTCAAATTTTTAAATTGTATTATAAAATWATCATTAATCATCATATTATGCTCTTAAAATCATTTCATATTTTTTTCATGGAATCATTAATTTAATTTTAAGCTTACTTAGCCAATATAAATATATCAAATCAATTAATTTAAAAACTTAAATTTAAATTAAACAAAAAAATCTAATTTCCGAGAAATAACTAAGAAGTGTATAACAGTTTGGTTATTATTAATTTAATGTATTAAAAAATTAAACAATATACATTKTTTGTAGATTCATTACATTTTAAATGAACTAGTAATGGGTGGAATGGTTTTGGAAACTAATATGACCGAAATACTTTCAAGGATAGAAGAACAAAACAAATTGGAGAAACAAGAAGTATGGTCAATTTTTATTAATTGAGAATTTTTGATAGTTTTTATTTCTAAATAATATTGTTATTTAACTTATTTAAATATTCATTAGGCTGGTCTTGCTGGTGCGCCATCTAGAGCTGTGTCTGCTATGAAAAATATGAATATTCCTCAACAGTTGAAGGATATGAAACTTCCAGATCTCCCTCAAGCCATTAAGGAATTGAAGTTCTGACATTCAAGGAACAAATTGGTTTGCTCTGAAGCCTATCATAACTATACCAATTGAGTATGGAAGAATGAACAAATATTTGTTAATCGCTGATTAGGAACTAAAATTTAAATTTAGAATAATGTCATTGTTCAATTCTGTTTTTGTTCTTGTATATTGTTAAATTTATTTTAGTACAGTGTAAAGTTCATTTAGTTTACTGCCCATTTCAATATTATATTTAAATGTATATGAGAAATATTGTTTATAATATTTAATTGTTCATTTAAAATTTGTTATAAAAGATTTAAAAAAAAAAAACATGATTTATATTTTTTCTGAATTTATATAAAGTATATTATAAATTTATAACATATTATTTATTGTGTAAATTTGTTTTGAGATTGTTTTTCTTAATTGAATTACTGTTTTTGCTAACCAAAAATAAAATCCAATTTCTAAAAAATTATATTTTGTATATAATAATATTTATGATAATGCAACTGCATTATAACATTTTGTATTATAATTATTATTACGTAAATATTTTTATTGAATAAAATATACGTATATTATTTTTATCAAAAATAATTATTAAATCGTAAAATATAACATTAAATGCATATAGGGYCAACTGGCCAACTGGGTCAAGTAGATGAACAATTATTTCGTAGCTACGAATTAACAGAAAATATGCACTATGCAGGGTAAATATTTTATTCAGTAATAGGGCACAGCGGCCGCGCAGAGCAATATCAGCAATACCATTGATTAATGATTATAGAATATTCTATAATCAATGGCAATACCATAGAACTACAGTAAAGTTGTATCCATAGACCTAAATTTCTTAATAGGTCTATGGTTGTACCATGGTTCCTTCCGTTCTTCCGCTTTTTTATCAGTGTGACCAGAATAACGACGTGATGGTATCAACATTATCAATCAATTGTTGGCTGCTCCGATTTAAAATGTTAAGAAGGCAATGTCTTACAATAACAATTTATACAGGATATGAAATAGTTAATAGTTATGATATTTTTAACGTTCACAGACAGCTACTTTTTAGAATATATTTTCCCACAGTCCTAGTCCTGCCTGTTTTTGAGGATAATCCGCTACAGTTATTAAATTGCGTGAAACCGTTATGTGTATAATATTAAAATTAGTCTWTTGTAGTTCAGATGTGCGCTGATGGTGTAGTGTTTATCTGGTGATCGCAATTCCGAAATTTGTTATGTTATTTGCCCAGTGTCACGCCCTGTTCATCGCTGTCATATTGTTTGTGGTTGCCCTTTCAAATGGCCAGGATTACAGGTACCAAACATACAATGCTCAAAATTATCCCCCCTCGCAGACGGCTTATGATCGCAATTTGCCACAATCTTCCAACCCCTATAATCCTCTACTAGACCAATACGGTCAACAGAATAACTACCAGAATCGGTTGCCGTACAATCAACCTGGTCGTCCTGGAACTCCATCATATCGACCCAATGGACAAAATTATGTTGTAAGTGTCAACCATAATTTTGTATTTAATAAATTTATCTTACCTTAATATATTTAATAATATATGTTTTATTGAAGTTCTGCTGTTGCTTCATTTCAACAACTAATTAACTAACTTTTGATATTAGGGTGATGATATGTTATTGCTCCCTGGTATACTGGGTCGGTGGAGACCAGATTTACAAGGTAAAGAGCGAACCGATTCAAAACAATTGGATAGAGACGTATTTGTATCCACAAAGTATGGTCAAGTTCAGGGGTTTAAAGTGCATCTCTATGATAACCCTCTACCTGAAAGTGGTTATAGACCTTTTCAAACACCTGTTGAGCGAAAACAAGCTGAAGTTGCTGTGTTCTTAGGCATACCATATGCAGCACCACCAATTAATGAAGGAAGATTTCGTGTATGTTTTATCATCAATTGTCTTGTACTTATGAAGTAAAATTATTAATAGTATGCATATATAAATACTTCTGTTTAGCCACCACGACCTCATAAAGGTTGGCAGTTACATCAAGCAGTTGATTTTGGACCTGCATGCCCACAACCAGCTATTTACACTGGTATTACTAGAGGCGTACCAAAAGTAGATGAAGACTGTTTATTTTTAAATATATTTATGCCATCGGTAAATAAAATTTTCAATTAATACCTATTGCAATTAATTGTACAGTATTTAATTTACAATTTATTTGTCTTTTTAAATTGTGTGGTCACAGACGGGTGTGGCCCCAGCTAAACCGTATCCAGTCATGTTTTACATACACGGCGGTGACTTTGTACACGGATCATCAAACTCTTTTCATGGACATATGATGGCTGCATTTTATAATGTTGTTGTTGTAGCTATCAATTATAGATTAGGAGCCTTAGGTAATTTAAAAAATTAATAWTTAAAATTGTTGAAATAATATTTTAATTTTGAAGGATTTCTGAGTACGTGTGATGACAATTCTCCTGGCAATTATGGGCTTATGGACCAAGCTATGGCTCTACGTTGGGTTTATGACAATATTGAGTTTTTCAATGGTGATCGTAAATCAATTACTTTATTTGGACCGGATGCAGGTGCTGCATCCGCAGGATTGTTAATGGTTAATCCCAAAACTAGTTTTATGGTATCCAAAGTTATTGCTCAGGTAACAAAATGTGTTAATTCAATTTCGTTTTATTACTCACTAACAATGACTAATACATATATAAGTAGTATAATTATTAATTTTACTTTTAGAGGTGTATATTAAATACATAATATTATATATAAAGTTATTTAGGAAAATGTATTTTTTATAAAGTTCGGATATTAGAAAAAAAAATTGAGTCATATAATGACATGGTTAATATGAAATCCTATTTATTATATTAATATAAATAAATAATATTTTTAGTGCATACATACCAGTGGCAGCTCATGGGTTTTTAATGAAGTAATGCACATCAAAAAAAAAAAATAAAGCCAATATTATATATATATAAATTGTATTATATAGTTGTTTACAATTGTTGGTTATTTACTAATTACCTTTTATTTTGTTTAACGCGATTTTTGTTTTAAATTTCTGATAATGATCGAGTAAGATTGTCAGCTGATAATTGGAATATAATAAACAAATGAGAGTAAAAATAAATTATAATGCTGATGCCGAGACACAAAAGCGCGGCGTCATCAAAATTAATTCACAAAAAATAAGTTATTTGGTTATGTGCACATCAATTCCATTATAACATGGGTTGCGTGTTTCGACTTGTTATAATTTGTACACTGTACAAATATGCACAGCTATTGTGTGCACTATTGCACCACTATAATACACACTGATACCGTGTCTTCACGGATAACCACCCTGTTGTTTGGCCTTCAAAAAAACCCAATCTAAATATTATTATTTTCATAATATTCTGAATTTAAATTTTGAAAAATAATCTTAATAAAACTAGAYGTACTTAGTTGTATTATTATGATTTATGTTTTCAATTTTTCTTGAGTTTGGGTAGGTAGTGCACATGGTAATTGTGCACATATACATGAGCTGCCCATTTATACTTCATAGTTATTAGTCAAAATTAATTTTGTAATTTTTTTTTTTATATATTTTTTATAATGTGTATTTTATTTTCTAGAGTGGTTCAGCTGTTTCAGATTGGGCACTTATAAAAGATAGGTGGAGGGCTTTAAATACAACCAAAGTATTTGCTGCTCACATTGGCTGTAGTACTGAATCTACGTGGAAAATTGTTGAYTGTCTGAAACGGGGTAGAAGTTTTTTGGAACTTGGATCRGATTTTAAAGTAATTTATAATAAATTTATTATAAATAAATAAATTTAAAATTGTTTTTATYATATTTATTTAGCCTCAAATTGGTTTTAATGCTTGGGGACCAATTATTGACAATGAATTTTTGGTGCCTAAAAGTGATTGGTATGATGGTTGGCAACAATCAGATTGGCATTTTATTAATGAATCAGTAAAAACTGCTATTCAATCAGGTCATTTTAATAAGGATCTTAGATACTTAAGTGGTGTCACCACTCAAGAAGCAGCATATATATTATGTAAGATTATAAACTTAAATTTGTTATATATTATAAACCATTATTKAACAATAAGACTACCATTTTCATTGACAGATAATAATAAAACATATACAGTTACTGAAGAATTCTTCAACAACAAAGTTAAAGAATTAGTCCTTCAGTATAATTACACATTAAACCCATCTGGAGTTTACCAAGCTATAAAATACTTGTATACATATTGGCCTGATCCAATTAATCCGGATTCAATAAGAACACAGTATATAAATGTATGATTATTTTAGTTCGATTCAAATTAAAATAATTGTAGTACATTTCRTTAAATCTAAAATATGATTTTCAGATGTTGTCMGACTTTTTGTTTGTTGCTCCGCATGATGAAATGTCTAAATTGCTTGTAGCTGAAGATGTTCCAGTTTATATGTATGTTTTAAATACCACTGTTACGAGTATTCCCTTACCTGAATGGAGGCTGTACTCACATGACACAGAATATTACTTCTTGACAGGTGCACCTTTTATGGATAGTGGTATGTTGTTTTTGTTTAATGTATATCTCTTTAAGCCTTTTTCATATTAATTTTATTAATATGTTATTTTTTAGAATTTTTCCCTCGTATACCAGTTGTGGATAAAAGAAAATGGACTGACAATGATCGTAATATGAGCCATTTTTTCATGAAGGCTTATACCAATTTTGCAACTTATGGGTATGCTATTATTTAAATTATCAATTTTTAATTGTAATATTAATTTTTTTACATTATAAATGGAAAAATACATATTTGTGTATCTACCATAGTCACCTCTAAAATGTCCTTTCTCATAATTATCACAGTATATTTTATAATTTGTACTTCCATTAAATTTTTATCCTTGTATAAATTTTTAAGTGCCCACATGTTAAGGATGTTCACTGCAGCAGTTTATGGAGGCAATAACCATAATTACCTTATAGACGTATAAGAGTGATCAGTATTGTATGTTGTTTTATATATTTTTTCTTTCAAAATCTGGCAGAGGACTGTCACTATTTATTGCAGTTAATATAATAACTAGTAAATTCATTGGGGAGATTGAAAATTTATAATGTAATTTATTATATTATAATCCAATTTGTGACTTGTGTATAATATCAATAATAAATAATAATAATATCATTACTRCATGGGGCAATACAATGTCAAATAACTAAATTCAATGGTCTAATATGGACACACAACACGACATGCTGCAGGTTTTTGTGTTTACAGAAAAATTGTAGCGACCGCGATGCGAATAGCAGAAACTTTGAATGAGTTTATTCTCAACATCTGAATAACATCTATATAGTATACTATCTATCACCGTCCTCTGCCTTTTCATGCATATGAAATGTGTATACATTATTGAGTCTCTCAAGAGGCAGACTTTTAAACTAGCGACCGTCATTATTATTTTTGGCCCGTATTATTATTGAATGACACCTGTATTCTCATTATTAATTTAAAAATAGAATACAAAATATATATTATTATCAATATTAATATCGAAAACTATAATTATTATTAAAATGCATAAAAATATTAAATTATAATCCAATTTTCTTTTAACTTTTTATTTTGTTACTACTTTTTTTTTATGGGCAGTCGTCTCAAAGACCCCTGACAAGCTGGTACTGATAATAACACAGTAAAAAAACAAAGTTTCCTATCACAAAGAAAACAGCTTAAAGAGATTAGAGATAAGAATAATGATTATATATATATTAATATTATATTACATGATTATATAAATCTAAAAAATATAATTCAAAATTTGTTAATAACAAATAATTAACAYCTTATTTTCATGGAGATGATGCGGTAGATATAAAAGACTACTGCATTATGCCTAAAATTTGTTATGTGTACAGTATAATTATCATACTATTTTAATAATTATAAATTGATAAAAAAAAAATTATAATTGGTTTTTTTTTATTAGTCCAATATATTACCACACAATATGTTTTATATTTAAATATATGAAATTAGAAAAAAAATACAGCTAACAGTGAAAAAATTACATATTTAATAATTGTTTGTTTGGCATGCATGCAATTACTATTTTGTAGTTAAAACTTAAGGTTCAACTTATTTCAATATTTATAATTAATCATAACACTTAATTTATTCTGTTTTAGAAATCCAAGTCAATCTCAAATTTTAGGTATACATTTTGATATGGCATTAAAAGGTGATCTCAAATACCTGAATATCAATTCAACGTATAATACGACTATTAAACAAAATTATAGGCAAATGGAATCGGCATTTTGGTCAGAATATTTACCTACTGTTATTGGTATTATTGTACCAACATATCCTCCAACCACAGAAGTAAGTACTTTTTAATATTTACTAAGGTTCTGAGCAGAAACAGAATTATTTATTGAAAATAATTAAGAATTTGGAAATATAACGAAAAATTAAAATGATATAGAATTTTTCTCTAAGTATGGGTCACACTTTTTATATTAATGGTTTTAGAGTTCAGAAGCAATTTTTTTATGAATTCCCATAGTTTTTAAACTTATTTTTTTAAAATATTTAAGTAGTTTAACTTTCGGGTGGTGCTGCTGAGTACCTGCCCACAAATGTTAAATTCTGTCACTTTATATTATATTAACTATCAAATTTGCTCATTGTACATAATGTTGTAAAGATTGTAAATTACTTAAATAATAATAAAAAAAAAAGTAGTATAACTGATTTTTTTGTTAACAAATCTTGAACATTCTTTAGGTAGGCATGTTTAGTTCTACCTAGAATTTTTTAGAATTATATGATTTGTCATTGCTTTAAAATGTATATACTTTTTTTAGTGACTCAATTTATATAATAGTGCCTAAAAAATCATTTTGTATTTGTTTTTAATTTCTTTTTTTATATTAAGTTTTGGTGGGAACCTAAAACTCCAATTCAAGTGGCATTTTGGGGTCTATCCGGTCTCAATATGATTTTAATTGCTCTGACAGTAATTCTTTGCATACTGTGGTGTAATGCAAAGAAGTAAGTTTATTTATTAAATTTCATTTGAATTTATTTAAGAATGTAAAAAAACATATATATTTGATTTTTTAGAACTAAAGATCGTTATTATAACGGTGATGTGTTAGTCGTTAGAGAAGAGCCAATGGCAATGAGCCATCAAGGCATTGATAACCGTAGTGTAACCAGTAATATTTATGAATATCATGATGCCCCGATTAAGACATTACATGCTTCTCCCAAGAAAACAGCATCTGCTAGCACCTTGAGAACTAACAGTGCAGCTTCTATGCGAGATCATCCTATGGCCATAAATGAAAAACCTGTACCACAGACTCAGGTTTAAACTTTATACTTTAAATGGTTTTACACTWGCTTATAAATGTTTATTTTTTTTTAATATTTTATATTAAGCTAACTTTATCTGGATATTTTGGGATGTTTGCACCTATGATTCCGTCCATTGTTTTTTGTTAGTGAAAAAATAAGTTCTTTATTGTTATGGTAGATTTAGATTTCTTTGAATGTGCTTTCAATTATAAGAAGTTATTGGGAAAACAAAATAACAAAAAGTGTTGAGGTGGAGACAATTTGTGCTTTCCAATTTAGGTTTATAATATAGAGTGTGATCACGATAAGTAGAAACAGTGCAGGCCTCATATATTTCAATTTTGATTTTTTGGCTAACTAAACATTAAATAGTTAAACTAATTTTGTGACAGTTAATTTTGGGCATGGGCACAATTTTTTTTTTTTGGCATGTCCTATTTTTGACCTCAAATTATTTTTAATGAATTTTAGTGGTTGAGTTTCTTTTCTAGGTTAAAAATTGACAATWTGACTTTATGTTATTTGCATGGCTATAATAGATTATAAAATACTTAATAATAAAAATAAAATTACAAACATTGATTATTTTTATTCAAAAAATGTTATTTATCTAACAAATTRTTATTATAACTATTAAGGCTATACTTCTATAATTTCACACTTAATTAAAAAACTGCTTATTAGTTAGTCAAAAAAGCAGAATTTAAATATATGAAGCTTGCACATAGTTATTGAATGTTTCCACTTATTGTGATCACACTGTACAGTTAATATTATGTTATTTTACTTTTTCATAAAATTAAATTTGGTATTGAAACTTTTATACATTTGGTATAACTAGTTATATCCTTGTAAGTACAATTTCTTTTTTATTTAAGGGGAATCCACAGTAGGGGTTATTTTTGTATATTTCATTTGTATATTTAAGTTGATAATTTTGTATCACTGGCAAGGAAATTTTGTCAAAAATCTCGGATGGTCTTCCATCCGGACAATAGCAACTGCGTCCGGTATGTATGCTCAGTTCGTTTCCACAGATTTGCCTCACCAAGCCACAACTTCTATTGTTATAAAATACATTCAAATAAACTTCACTTAAAGCAAAATATATACAAAATTTCTGGAAAATATATAAAATCTGATAATATTATTCCAACTCCACATGGGAATGAAACCACCTATCGTACTTACAGCGCTCTCGGTGTTAATTTGTTTTCCCAATATTCCATGTATATCATGCCGTCCATCACCTATTTTTATACATTAGAATTTATATTAGTAAACTATCCGTCCAGGAATATATGCATAGTATTATGATAAGTACTATATTTAATTGTATTAAGTTTAAATATTGTCTATAAATGATTTTATTACAACAAGTATTAATGTTTTCTTTTGGTTTATTGTGATGTACAATACTTAAAATTCTACTCTAACATTTATTTTTTTAAACCATGTTTTGATATCTTAAAATATTACCTAATTCTGTTTTCTAACTTAAACCAGAATACATTTTTATTCATCATAAATTATTGAATTATTTTTATATCATCTTCAATAACTATTGAATCAAATCAGTGATTTAATTATAATGAATATTAGGTTCATGATTATAATTGATCGACTTGACTTTTTGCTGAATWTAAGTATTTTTATATATTTTTTATAAATGTTTTACGTCTCAAACAATATAATTATTTATTTATTTACTGAAGTTATAGGTAATTATAAATTACAATTAATATAATACATAAAAATGACAAACCTACAGGTCGGCTCTCAAAACTAAATTTAACTTTAAAAATTAATTTAACTCATTTAAAAAAAACTTAGTTATTTGTTATCTTTTTGAGTCCTGCATTATATTATTGATTGCCAACAATATTGAGCTTTTCGATTTGGTCTATGTATAAATACATTACAATGCATTGCTGTTTAATTTGAATGTATACTTTTATTAAGTATTTGATTATATGTAAAAAAAAATATTATGTTTTAAAATTAATTTTGAATCTTAAAACATTTTTCTTAACACATTTTGGTTATTCAACTACATTTTTTTAAACAGATGTCAATTATATTTTATATTAAAGTACATAATTTTCAATTTAGAAATTTAATTAATAAATTAGTGAACAAATTTTAAAATAATATTATAATGTTATTATTTTTTTTTCTAATGATACCTATCAGTTTAGAATTATTGATTATATTGTAAGCTGCATAACTTTCCTAATTTGTACCTTTAAAATATTTAGTCGATTGACTAATATTTATATTACTATTTGTTACCAAAAATGTGTACAGAAATTTAAAACAAAGAAGTATAAAGGTTGACTATAAGATCTCATGTGAAATTTTAATATTATAAGTTATTATCTTGGTTTTGTATAAAAATATTTAAAATTTCAGATTTGTATTCAATGTTGAATTATTTGTTTTAATATGGAATAAGTAATATAATTTAATTACAGTGATTTTTCTTACTGTTTATTACAAAGAAAAAGTTATCAGTATGCACTTAAAAAACTAGAGTTAATTTTACTAAAGTGGCTGTATAAAAACATTCTATTTAAATTTTTATCCATTTAACTTGTGGGATTAATTTTATCATCATTTATATGATTTTATAATTTGATGTTTATTGAAAGTTACTCGTCAGTCAACACCCATGATATAATTGCAAATATAGTAAGATTTTTTTATTTTGACTTATTTACWTTAAATAATGTTAATCTATTATAATGAATAAGTATGGGCCAGAAGTTGCATATTATTTAATATGGTCAATACATTAGCTAAAATAAATACTCTCTTGAAACTTTTTATTTCTATAATTTCATCATAAAACTATAATATATGTTTTAAATTTAGAATCACTTGTTTCTATTATAGAAGCTAATTTCGCTTACAATTATTTTGATAGTAGTTTGATTTTAATCAAATAAAAATAAGATATTAAGTCTGTTTTTAATTTTTATTATTTATTTATAATATTATAGTATAAACGATCTGATATAATTTTTTCAGATTTCTAATTATTTATTTTATAGCCACTGTATTATTATTTAATTATTTATGTTACTTGTCCAAAAATAAAACAATATTTTTTTAATTTACAATTGTTTAAGTTATTATATATTATGTAGTGCTGGACTTTTATTTATGTAATTTATGTACAATCCA